CCTGTTTGGGAATCAAACCAGCAACCTCTTGGTGCATGGCTTGGTGCTCAACCAGTGAGCCACACCAGCCGGCGATGACCAACATTTTAATGTAGGCATTTAGTTCTGTATTCCCAAGGTCTTGAGGCAGGCCTGGTACATGTTAGGCCCACAATAAATATTTGTTGATTATCGAATGAACCCCTATCTGAAACAACCCCTGACATGCAGCCTGAGGGATTCTTTTTGTTGGTCCTTTAGTACTTTAGGGGTGATGAGAGATCACAGATGTATAAAAAGCATTCTTTATTTTGAAGGGAAATCACTGGGATGCAGACTAGAATGGGGAAAGGAGCACAGGACATGTATTCAGATGGTATGAGTTTAAGTTGTGATTCGGTTCACAAATTGGCCTGCTTTCTCAACCTAGAGTTCGCTAAGCCACAATGATCGCATTTGTAAAACGTGAAAGAAGATAATTCCTCTTTCCTAGTATGACCTTAGGCTCAAATGATGACAAATATTGAAACACTGTGAACTGAAAAGCAATGAACAAATATTGGACAGATTTTGTACATGAGGTCTGAAATCTATTTCTAATTTCACTATACATTTCCTATGTGTATCTCTTCATTTGCTTATTGTATTGTCAAATTTCCTTATCTCTAAATTCAAAATAAAAATACTTCACACATTGCAAAAATCTGTTCCCTCCCAAAAACATCCTGATAGTTACCTTGAATTGGACTGTTATACCGAATATATCCCTGAACATTTTCTTTTCCAATATTGCCTTTCCTACACCGTTAATTATGTATGGTGCTATTTATGTTGGTAATAAGAGTTTCATCGTTAAGAAATTTTGCCACAGAAACAGTTTCTCTCCCCTCTTCAGTCTCTTTCAACTTTCTTCAATTACAACTACATTTCACAGACCTCTGAGAGCATGGATTATAACATTAACAGAAAATAGTTAAGGAAATCATTCACAAAAGCATAAAAGGAGATTAGAGAGTCATGTGTATGTAAAGAACCTTGAGTGTTGAGACTACTTCCATGCAAGTCTACGCCGCATTGTGTCAGTGGTATACACATTCATTCTAATAGGAAAAGGAGGGAGGCTAATTTCTGGAGGTCTCTAGAAAGGTGTGCGCATGGCTAAGGTGTTCCTTAGGAAGGAGTTCTGAAGGCAAGATCAAAGATTGATAATTCTAGGCTATCCAGAAGAAAAATCTGTGAACAATACAAAATAACGAGCATAAAATATGGGGGCATGCATACTCCCAAGGAGGTTAACTCAATGCTCATGTAGAGGGTAGATAAGGACACAAAAATCATGATTTAGAGATCATAGCTCAACTTCTCTACATGGAGACGCTAGGGGGAGATAGGAAGAACTGCATCTGTTCGGTGTTTATAACAAAACTGCCAAGTCTACATGAAAACAAATCTGTTGCTTTGCAACTATGCTGAAGCTGGGGGTTTTAGCACCCACAGAGTTATGTAAAATGGTGGGAAACTCTCTCATTGGCATGGGAATATACCTGTTTTCAGTCCTTTTTCTCTAACCTCTCGTAGCCAGTGTTATCATTTGCTCAGTGGAGACCTTTATTAGAGTACAAAGTTGAACACAAAGCATCTGTTCTGGCATGAATCCTCCTAAGTGCATAAATACTGATGCTTCACATAGAAGACGTAATGACTAGCCAGTTTAGCAATACCTCTGCTGCTACTGTTTCTATTTGCTTTTGAAAATGTAGTTATTGATATACCTTAATCATTACACATAGCAAGCTGTGGCTTAGGGAAATAGATTTTTATTAACTCTATGACATCACATTTTCTTTTTTTTTTTTAATCCTCACCTGAGAATATATTTACATTTATCTTTCAGATAGAGTGGGAGGGAGAGAGAGAGAAAAACATTGAAGTGAGAGGGACACATTGACTGGTTGCCTCCTGCACAACCCGAACAGGGCCGGGGACAAACTGCAACCGAGGTATGTGCCCTTGACAGGAATCAAACCTGCGACACTTTGGTCTGCAGGCCGATACTCTAACCGCTGAGCCAAACTGGCCGGGACAACTCTACGACATTTTCATGAAATAAAATGGATATATCTAGAAAGTGCTGAAGAGGAACAGAATACATGACCCCTATATATGCCACTTTGGAATGTGGATTATTTTGAGCTGAAGACAATCAAGACCCAGCAGGCTCACGAAAAATTTTTACCTCTCCCATAACTACCAGAAAGAATTAAATAGGGGGCCTGGTTCAGAGAGAGAGCTATTACCAGAGATGATTTTTATCGGAATGACCTATCCATAGTCAGGAAAACATCTCATTTCCAAACATCTGCTCTTCTTGTCCTGTGAATTACCTTTCTCCCCTTTGAAGCCCCAGGCCCCTATCCCATTACTTTTCACAGGAAGGCAGATAAGCGTCAACTGTCCAACTGGACCTTGTGTCTCACATTTTAATGGGGCTACAATACATGGGAAATTAAATTTGTTTTTCTCCTGTTAATCTGTTTTATGTCAATTTGCTTGTTAGACCAGCCAAAGAACCTAAAAAAGTAAAAAGAACTTTTCCTCCTCAGTAACGTCTTCAGTAGATAATAACCAGATTTTTTTTTACCCTATAAAGTTCTAGAACACACTTGGCTTGATATACTATGAATAATAAATGGCAAATGAGTGCAAGAAACTTGAGAGCCCTAAATAGAGAAATAGTCACCTTGACCTTTTTTTTTTTTTTTTTTAAATCCTCACCCAAGGACATTTTGCTATTTATCAGAAAGAATGTAAGGGAGGGAGAGAGAGAAACATCGATGTGAGAGAGACACATTGACTAGTTGCCCCCACATGACCCGACCAGGGCTGGGGATGAACCACAACCGAGGTACGTGCCCTTGACTGGAATCAAACCCGCGACTCATTGGTCTGAGGGCTGACGCTCTAACTGCTGAGCCAAACCGGCTAGGGCAACCTTTTCATTTTGTATTTTCAGCAGCCTGTTAATTAATTACAGGTATAATAAATGTTTTGTTTTGTTTTTAGATTTTTTTATCCTCACCCAAGGACGTTTCCATTTTTTTTTGTTCAGATAGAGTGGGAGAGAAAGAGACAGAGAGAAACATTGGGACACATGGAGTGGCTGTCTCCCACACCACCCAACCAGGGTTGGGGAGGAATCGCGACCAAGGTGCATGCCCTTGACCGGAATCAAACCCAGGACTCATTGGTCTGCAGGCGGATGCTCTAACCACTGAGAAAACCGGCCAGGGCAGGTATAATAATTGTTTAATAAGTACTTGTTGAATAACTAGCATGTATAACCTGTGTATCTAGACTGTGCATGAAACATATAGTATAAAATCATTTGCATTACACATGATACATGAATATACACACACAAATACCCATGCACACACAAACATATATAGCAAACATATAAAAACATATATATTTTTTATCCTCACCCTATGATATGTTTTTATTGATTTTAGAAAGAGAAGGAAAGATTGATGTGAGAGAGAAACATCAATCAGTTGCCTGCCATTTACGCCCTGACTGGAGATCGAACCTGCAACCTGGAATCAACCCTCAACCTAGGTCTGTGCCCTGACCAGGAATTGAACCAGCAACGTTTTGGTATATGTGACAATGCTCTAACCAAGACAACTGTCCAAGGCTATAGCTATGTATATTTTTAAACACCTGGGCATTCCAAGTAGGAAGAAAATGAATACTTGAGATGAAAAAACTATAGACTGTCTTTAAAGATCTTGAGAGTTTTTTAGAGTGATTCCTAGAGCCTTTGCATGGATACTGTGGTGAAAATTCTGAATATGGGACATATCTTGAAGACTGGCTTTATGTGCTAATATGTTTGCCAAGATTACTTTACGCTGTGGAATTTATTCCCTCCCAAGTGTTCCAACTGCAGAAAGAGAGGAGGGAAACACCTCTGATTACTACTTTTAAAGGCAAAACTCCAGTAGACAGTATCATGTGTATAGAACCTTCTCACCATCATTTGAGAAGGCCCCTGCTTCAACTTTCTTCCTTTCCCACCTAGTAGAAAATGCTGTTGATTTGTGGTCATTTTCTTCAAAAAATTTAGGAAAGAATCATTTCCTCCAACCAGTGCATTGTACAAATAAACCGAGGTCTGCAGAGGAGAAGTGACTTGCATAGGAGTTTATGACAAGTAAGTGCCTTCATCTATGTACATCCGGATTAAGGAGTATTCTCTGAGCCTGTACTAGTCCCATCCTCCTGTTCTTAGGCTAACATTTGCAAACAGCATGCAGAAAACAATCACAGAATGAAGACCCAGGGGAAAGGGTAGGAAGTGGTCATTAGCAAATCCCTGGGTCTGGGGATCACCTGCTCTCTTGTATCAAAACAGTGTAACAAGCTATTCATAAGAACACCAAGAACGCGTGGGCCATTGTTTTCAGAACCAGCTGTGGAGAATCAGCTCTACAGTGGCCTTGGAACAGCTGCTGCACCAAAGGGGCGGAGGCCGCAGAGGTGGAAGAGGAGTGAGCCTGGCAAGCTGCAGGGACCCCGCCGCGCCACCTCTTGGCAAACCGGGAAGTATTTTTGTAATAAGTGCGATGGCCTGAGCCACCTTTAGAACGGAAAGTGTGAATGGCTCATAGCAGGCCCCAGAGGCGTGTGTAATAATTGCAAACCCTTGGGGAAACTGGTGCCCCCGAGCCGCAAAATGGTCAGAGCAAGGGAGCACCCAGTCTGCGCTGTCATAAAGTACACAGACGGAGCAGGCTCTGCTATCTTAGCGAACCCTGAACCGAGCAAAGTCCAGGGTAAACAAGCCTCGCAAAGGCTGCCTCCAGACCTGCAGCCCCTGTGCGCTCTTCTAACCTTCATTCCCACGCACGGGAACTCAACCCAAGAGCCCTAGCCACCCTCTCTCCCAGGCCCCATCTTCCGATCACTGCATTTTTGGGCCCACGCCCCCACGACCACAGCTGGCGCACCACACTCACCATCTCTTGCCTGAGGAGGTGAAGCTTGGTTTCCAGCCTCTCCAGGGTGCTAGAGTGGCTACGTCTTCCTGGGGAGCCAGAGGTTGGGGAGGAGGAAGAGGAGGACGATAAGGAGGGAGGTAAGCTGCAGCTGCTGCTGCTGCTGCTGCTGCTGCTGCTGCTACTGCAGGCACCGCCACCTCCGCTGCTCCCCCCGCAGGGGTCCCTGTCCCTTTCCAGGGGAACCAGCTCCTCCCCAAGGAGCGAGCGCACTAGGCTCTCCGGTACTTTGCGCCCCAGCTTCAGCTCGATGTCTCTGAGATCTGGCAGTGTCCCGTCTTCCATGACTTTTCAAGAACAATGATAATGGTAGTAAAATGCTGCGGGTGAGAGGCAGCCGCGGCCTCCAAGTCTGGCGCGAGATCAGCGGAGCCCTCCTGCCGCCAGGGTCTCTATCCTCGGCGGGTCCAGGGCACCGTCCGCTCCATAACCGCCTGCGCGAGATCAGCCCTGCAATCTGCACAGGACGCGGCGGGTCGCAGCCGCAGTACCCTGGTCGCTGTAACTCCTCTGACTCGAACCAAGATTATAGAGGCCGATTCATCCTCTTCCTTTTTGGCCACTCCACTGCGAAGTTGAGTTAATTGATATTGCAGAGAGGGGGGAAAATGCAAGTACTATAGACCAAAAGAAAATAGAGGGAAATGAAGTCTGCTTTAGCTTTATGGGGGGAAAAATCACATTATAAAACTGTCCGTCACATCCCTGCGCCATTCACTGACTGCCCATCTGCTACCACGCGACACAAAATAATGATGTGGCCACACTCCAGCGTCGTTTCATTTTCCAGCCATAAATCCAAGCTTTCGAAGTATCGTCAGAAATAATCTCTGGTCAGTGATAGAGCAGGACGTGTGCGCGGACGCATAAAGGAGATAGTTCGCAGTAGTTTCACGACTTCCTTGATGCAGCAGAAGTACCCTTCTTGCTATTTAGGCTGTGTGATCCAAGTCATTGTGTTCTTGTGAGCCTCGGAAACTTTAAACTCCGCTGGCAGGTGGACCAAACCAGGGCCAACCCCTGTACCGTATATCGTAGGCAAGAAGAGCAACACATTTCCCCACCCCTGCTGCTAGTGGTAGTTTCAGCGTCTTGTTTCAGTAGGGAGTTGCTAGCTGGAGTATTAGATGTTAAGTTTTCCTGGCGGAATTGCCTGACACCTACAAACTTTACAGCAATTAACATACTAGGGGCGTAAAAATGACTTTAAATGAAGTGTCATTGTCCCCCACCCCGACTCCACCCATCTTCCTAAGGCAAAAAAAAATCTAGCTTTAGAAGCCTTTCCTAGTAATTTTATATCAGTAAAAAATAACTAGTGAAAATACACAACCAAAATGAATGTCCTTACCAAATGTAACAGTATGTCACTACTAGCAGGAGTGAAAAATGAAACAGCCAGAATAATGTATTTGATTACTGAAGATTGTGGTGGATTTTAAAAGGGGGAAGTTGCTGAGATACTTTCATTTTAGTTATGGAGGGAAAAGATTGAGCATAACTAGTCAAAAAGTTGTCTTTGATAATTTATATTTTCAATTTGTTAAAAAAAATATAGTTTATCTACATTTTCAAGCTACTGATCTGAGTTTCTTCTACCAAGTAAGTTATTATAAACTAATTATCAGTTTGATTCAACATTGAATTTGTGCTAATCATTTTCAAGCAGAGGATACTATTTTTAATAAGGTAGCTCTAATTTTAGGGTTCCATTGGGATATTTTGAAATATGGCCCCTCTATTTCTGGGACAAGTAAATATTTGTGGTATCGGTCGTTCTGACCCTCTATTTCCAGGGATGCCACTTAGGTTTTGTAAACACTTGTAGGTTCATAGGCAGACATAGCTCAGTTTGTTCTTAGCATAACCTCATCTAGAAAGTCTAGGGAGAGGAAACAGGACTTCTGAATGAAATATTTCACGTCACAAAGTTGCCGAAGTTCTCTTGTCAACGTGTCAAGTATTGGTATTCCTCACTCTTAAAGAAATAAAGAAAATAGTTGTAAATTAAGTGGCCTATTTTAAAGTTGGAACAACTACTTATGGAATCAAAGGAGAATAAGACCCAATCTCAACTCACTGATAAAATGTAAGCTTTGTACTAAATTTGGAAAACCACAGGCTCATTGGGTAAGAATTGCACTGTGACATGTAATTATGGAAGCCTTGCATCTCAATCAAGAACAGTTTTCTGTTTTGTTTTGTTTTAAATTACAAAACCCTTACAAAGTTCAGCATAGAGCTAGCCAGCCAAGAAGAGGAGGTTAGAAATGCAATATCTACTTTAAACTTGGTCAATAAAGTTTATTGTAAAATTATTGTCAATATAATCTACAAAAAGGAACACTTCCTTTGCCATGAGTGACAGGAAAATTAGTATTTGATACTGATGATAACTCAAAATGGAAAACTTTTTTTTTTTCCTTTTAAATGTCTAAAGAGAAAACTCCTCTGAAATAGAAAGTAATACGTTGTGTCAGTGCAATATAAAAACAATGTTAAGACTTTAAAAATTTCTCAATTTGCCCTGGCCGGTTCGGCCCATGGAGCAAAAAGGCAGGGGTTTGATTCCTGTCAAGGGCACGGACCTCGATTGCAGTTCCGCCCTGGCCCTGGTGGGGTCGTCCGCGATGTGTCTCTCTTACATGATCTGTCTCTCTCTCCCTCTCCCATTCCCACTCTATCTGAAGATATTTAGAAAAATATCCATGGGTGAGGATTAAAAAAATTTTTTTTAAACAAAAAAATAAAAATTTCTCAATGCTTTATGACATTTTAGTTAAAACAGAGACATTTTGAACGCTATAATGCTAATTTTCAAAACACATTAGAATCACAGAATTCTTATAGGCCTCTAATAGATTGTGTTAACCCTGTCATTACAGCTTTATGTGATCTGATCTCAGGATATCCCTTATCCAAAATGTTTAAAAATAAGGATCTTGAGAATTATTTTTGCTTCCTTTTAAGATTCTTTTATGATTTGAAAAAAAAAAAATGTGTGAGAAGTTTAACCCATTGCTGTTAGATTGGTACGTTAATTACACATCTTGATTTGAGGAATTAGTTGCAAGAATGTGGTCCAGGATGGGGGGGCGGGTAGGAGTGACTGAGGTGATCAGTGCATGGAGGGCGCACAGAGGGAGAACGGAGAAAGAAATGAGAAAAAACTCTTCCGAGCAACCTTTTTATATTTCTCCGAGTCCCCAGTCCTGGAAATATTCCCTGCTCCAACCGTTCCTGTCCATCTCCAACCACTTCCTAGTATTTCCTTAATTAATAGCACCGCCAGCAACAACCTAAACTCAGGGTGTTTCTCCAAGGCCAATATACTGAAAAATAAAATTATGAGTTTTATTATTTGTGTTTGTGATGTATATTTTTAGACCCAGACCAGCTTATATATGCTTCCTTTTCTGACTGCCATATGTAGGAACTAGATTTGCCTTTTTTTTTTTTTTTTTTTTCTGTTCAGACTAAGGAATCTAAGAATGGGTATTAAACTATGGGGAACTTTAAGAAACTGGGTTGTGTTTACAGAGAAGGAAATGGAGCCACGTATTTACCATTAAACAACAACAAACCTTGTGGCTAATTAATAGCAACACTGTTGGAGGCAGATGACAGGTTTTAAAAGAATGTCTCATTCCCCCCCAAAACAGAGTGATGTGGTGTATGCTCCACATTCCATACTTAGAACATTTTCTGGAATGAGACTTAGAGCAAAAGTAGACTCAGCAAGACTCTGTGTGGTGTGAGTAATGCCACTCCTTAATTTCCGCTGTCATTGTGGTTAAAGAAAAAAGACCTTCCACCTTCTCTCAGGCACCCATTGCAAGTCTCCAGCATTCCTAGCTCTTGCTGGCACCAAGTTCAAGGACGAGGGCAGAGTCTCTAACCTGAGACTCCATTCCCCACAAGGCAGAATAACATCAAGCAGCTTACAGCCTCAAATTACTCTTAAGGATTTTAGGAAGTAATTATTTAATGGGTATCAGCATCTCTGGATGTTTGTTTTAAATGTGTAGAGGTGCTATTCCTATAAATATTTTTGTTTCACTGATGGCATGCTTAACAAGGAAGATGTCATAGCAAAACTAAAGAATGTTGATCCTATCCATACATAGTAAAATTATGTATCTGCTAAAGCTACACAGATTTTATCCTCCCTATTTATAGAGTGATTTCATTCACCTATAATTTTGTAGCTGGGTCTGTTTCACAGCATAAATCATTTATTTTATTACCAACTTGAGCATATTATACATGTGTATGCCATATGTCACTACATCTATCTATCTATCTATCTATCTATCTATCTATCTATCTATCTATCTATCTATCTCTATATATCTATTATCTATATGAAATGTTTGTCCCTAAGGAGCACAGATCCTTGAAATAGTACTCTGATTGGAATCTAATTAATATTTATAATCAGAGCTAAACACTGCCCTGGGAGCTTTAGTAGACAACACTAAAGTAGGTCACCGGCATCTACGTCAGCCTTATCCCCTCTTCACAATCCCTGTCAAATCTCTCTGCCTTCATTATTTGTAATGGAGTCCTTTATTCGCTTTTGCTTGTGTTGCTGAGCTCTGAATCCATACTGAAATGTGCAAACGGGGCGGACAGAGAGAGATCGCTTCAGTGAAGCTAACCTAGGTGTGCTCCTCTGTAACATCTGAGTTGGACTTACAGAATAGACTTACAGGCTGTATTTCGATGGCACGCTGACTGATGTTTACAGTTGTCTCTCTGAAAACATATAAATAACTGTTTTGTAGCTTTCGACCATTTTCATGGTGTAAATATTCCATTGTGGCTGATTTCAAGCTATGGAGGCTTAAAGCCACAGGAAAGTCATAGAAACAGGCCTTTTCCTAATCAGGAATAATGTATCAAAAAGGACAGGCTACTTTTCCTCTTTATTCATAACCACCTATGGGTAGTTACTAACAGCTGAAAGCTTTGTTTAAAAGTATGCTTTTATATAGGCTAGAAAACTCTGATCACAGAAACATTCTTACCCTGCACTCCAGTGGCATAATCACGGACATAATTTATATGACCCACCTTTGCTATCTTTTACCAAACACCTTGACGATTTCTAAAATTGAGTCTGAGGTGGGCTCTAACAATAGAGAGTGTAAACATGGAAAGAAACATAAAAGGCCTAAAGAAATATCCTATTTCTATGTCCTAGTTGAGAGACATCCTTATGAATTTGATTTGAAAAAGACTTGGCAGATTTTATCTGAAGTATTGATTTTACACAACGTGCAGGTTGAGCGTGTCGAACTGGACCCCAGTGAGGGTAGAGAAGAGCAGCAGTGAGCATGCGCAGAGGAAGGTGTCTAAGAGGTTCAGAGAGGCCTATGATTTTCCACAAAAGGTTTGGCCTATAGTTGTGGCACATGCCATTGAATTCCCAACTGAAGGTCTTGACTTTGTGAGCAGTGCCCATTTCTGGCCATGTCTTATGAATGGCTTCAGACTTCCTCATAGTTTGGGGTTCTAGCTTCTCATTATCCTGAGTGTGATAGTTGTGAAAGGAAAAACAGAGTGCCTTTCCATAATCTGGAAATGAAGAGAATAAGGAATAAAAGTTTGCATGCATTTAACAACATTTTAAAAACATCATAAAGGTTCTATGTAAAGATACACATGAATAAGTTAGCATATTTGGAAATTAACACTCGCGAACTCCCCATATTAAGATTTCAGACCTCGGTCTTATGAGTTAAGAGCATTACTCTATTAACTAGCTTTGCTGCATGCACAGAAGAGGGGGGAGGGAGAGAAGGAGAGAGAAGAGAGGAGAGAGAGGAGGGAAAGAGAATATGAATGTCATTTTCTTTAAGAAGCAGGTATGAGTCAATGCAAATACTTTTGTGA